ACGTTCGAGTTTTCTGTGACACCTTCAGTAGGTGCAATGCAGAGAGGAAGGCTACCTAGTGTCAAAAATGTGCTTTCTGACGAAAAAAGAACAAGAGAGAAGTCGTGAAATAAAACTACTGCAGAAAATCCGGTCTAAGACCCAAAATATCCGATGAATTGATTATACACTACGAGGTGTATCAAAAATTACAAAGGATCGTGGATAGCCCGCCTGGTATCTATCAGGAGCCCACCTTAGTGATGGGTTTCGAGAAGATTAGGCCGATGGTTTGGTCCACATGCTTAAAGCAACTAGCTTCCACGTTGGTCAGACGAACCACTGCATTGGGATGGGGGAGACTCCAAGTGTAGAGATAAACCGGACGACCTGCCGTCATTGGTTCTTGGTAAGGCGCAGAAAGGCAGTAGAGGGGCTAAAAAGTTAGAAGGAAAGGTGTGTAAAGGAAGTAATTTAGGAGCCCAATTAACGATCAGAACAGCAATCCTGGAGCATCTCAATTGCAGCTACGACCGAGCATTCCTAAAAAAAGTGACCTTTAAGCTTGGCCAGTTTCCTATAGTTGTGATGCGTTTTGTAGTTTTCGTGGTAAAACTGTGTAAAAGAGCCCTCAAGTATTAGAAACTACAACATAATTCTTCACTGACAGTGTAGAGTCAACTGCAGATCTACTGAGATGCACAGTGCTGACCGTAACAGCCCCCCATTGTATTAAAATGCGCACATATATTTTGCTCCTCATACATGTGCTTGTATCTGCATACATCCACAAAGATCCTCAAATAAAAATTCAGCGGACCTGCCACGTAAGTTGCCTTACCGACCTGCACAGGCTACCTGACAATAAATAAGGGCGAGAAGCAGCTTCAGAATCGGTTAGAATTTATGAAATAATTATTTGCTACCTTTTTGTATTTGAGTAGATATGATTTTTACCTACACACGGGAGCTTTCTGGTTACCGTCGCGGTAGGCTAAAATGATTCGGGGTTTGCTTGTAAATACGATTAGAATGAAGGCTCTATTTAGTCTTAAGCCTGGCCAGTTCAATACGCCTAAATATAATTGTATGACTGACTATAGTATGAATGATGAACGCATTTTACAAGAATGACTTAACCGTCTATGCGGATGGTCTCATAAAGGGTTAAGGAAGTTAAAATTTGACAAATGTTTTAAAGTTGCGAAAATTCCCATCAGAGAATTCAGAAGAGTAGTTGGCGAAGGTTCATAGGCTTTTGATAAATCCTCGTCAGAGCAGTACATTTATATTGGAACGGGGTACAAGGTAAAACGTGTACATCGTTTCGTTCAACTGAGTCGTGGGAATAGGAGAGAGGGGAAGGGGTCCATCAGAGAAGGCTGGCAACGCGGCGGAGAACGTTTGGCAGACATCGTGTGGACCCCAACGAAGCCTTTCAGGTGATTTATAAGGTCCCACCAAACTATCCAAAGCTCCCGAGTCAACGCCTACTAGCAACAACAGAAGCGATCGCTACTTGACTGAGGAAGCAGGTGTTATATGCACAGAAGTATCTCTTGCAGGCTCCGCGTCTGGCCTGGCCCACAGTCATTTAGCTGCAAAGAATTCATCGAGAGCCTACATACGATCGCTTTGACAATTGTGTCAACTGGGGCTCAAAACAAAGAAGGCGAACGCGACGGGTAAGTCCCACCAATACATGCTTAATGAAAGATGCTTGTCAAATGTAGTTGAACAAAAGGACCTAGGAATCGTAATGGTGTTATCTCTGAAGCCCTCTTCTCAATGTGTCAGGGCTGCCATCATGGCAGACACGCCGAACGCATTTAAACATAATCTTGATGTACATTTACTTAAAAGATACTTTTCATTCGCCTAAGAAAACACTGTTAGAACATTTAAAGCAACGTTTCCCAGGTGCAGTTTAAAGACGGCAATAACAGCAAGATTTATTGGATCCATGGCATTGGAGTAAACATTTTTTTGGGAGGGGAAATATGTAAATAGGGAGCTAAGGAACATTTACCTATCTGGTTAATGAACCAAGAAAACAGAATTCCCCGGTCATCGATTACTGAACATCTACTAGAAACGGGCCATTCTGTTGACCCAAAAACTTCTTTCCGAGTACTTGTTCGAGCACGAACCACTCGCACCTTACGCTATCTGGAGGCATGCTACATACGGCGGTTCAAACCCGACCTATGTAAACAGCTGGAGCATGTAGTGAACCTAACTCTGCCTTGGTAACATTGGCTCCCTGTTTACACATTTTCCCTCCCAAAAAACAATCTTTTACCTCAGATGTCTTTCCCCGTTTTTTGCTGACCACAACATTTTAACTTCTTATGTTATTGATTGGCCTCCTGGCCATTTCTTATGACCTTGTGTTTGTAGTGATTTTTCTGTATGAATTCAATTAGTATTTTGCCTTAGGTGATTCACGTTACGCAATGAGAGGCAGCAACTGAGGAGCTCCCTCGAAATGCCATGGATCCAATAAATCCTGCTGTTATTGCTATCTTTAAAACTGTTAGAACACATCGACGTTTTGCTCACACTTACAGAGGGCGTAACATGTAATATTTGACAATTTTATCTAAGATCTTTAGCATAACTATGAGTAAATTCCACCGTTACTAAAATGTGTACATGTGAATATGTTACTCCCTATTTTATAGCAAGATATTAATTCTACTAATTAAGCTTGACTATGGTAGTGGGCAATTATATGCCGATCTGTTTCAGGATGTACCCATCCTGGTTGATGCCTCTTGCAACCTCGGCAACCCGAGGATATATTTTGCAAGGCGAATAGTTATGTTACTTATTAAATGGCTAAATGGTCAGGGAGTTTTCCTCTGACCGGAGAGACGCGAGTTCGAAACTCGAGTGTGGCGGCAGTTTCCGCTGCCACACTGGAGTTGGATATCTCC